AGATAGATAGATAGATAGATAGATAGATAGATAGATAGATAGATAGATAGATAGATAGATAGATAGATAGATAGATAGATAGATAGTATTGAACAATACTATATAATAATAATATATCATGGAAAAGTGAGGTGAGAAAATAATTGATTAGGTTATTCCACATTGTGTAGTCTTTTTGCAGAAAAGATTAACAAATTCTCTGTGCCAGTTCATTACGGCTTAGGGTGTCGTCAGCAGTGAAAGTCAAGATAATTGCCACTCATGTTCATTAATGATGAGAAGTGCTAACTCACTCTGCATCTTAGTGCATCTCTGCCGTCATGGGAGTAATTTAGCCCTTCCTGCATGACCACAGGATAATAAAATGCATTTAGGATTCGCAGAGCAGCTGTGATCAAAGCTCAGCTTTATTCTCTTATTACTAGGTAGCAGCTGGATTTATTGTAGATAAAATGAAATGGACTTATAATTAATTGAATAATCAGGAAAGGAATTTGCTACCCTGATTTAAAAAGTATATGCTGATCTGCAAGATTTTTTCCATTTTCTAGGTTTAGATGGTGGAAAGCAAGCCTGTTTCTTGGATAGGTTCTATTAGCCACTGTTACGTCTTTGTAAACTGAATTGGGGGGAAAAGCATTGAAATTCTCTGGAACTCCCCAAATCCTTGGGATTATAATGGAGGGGTTGCTAGGCTGCGATCTATAGGGCCTATTGTGAGCTCCTATATGGATTTCATGGTACAACAGGGAGCATCAGTGACCCACATTGCACTCACATTCCACTGCTTTTCAACTGGTCTTGGTTCTTTCTCTGATTAGTCTTTCCACTATTTATCTTGCTGTTCCTACATCCGTCTGTTTTACCTATTTTAAAGATGTTCATTAGCGCCGTTTAGCACCATACATTGGTTTCTTTTTACTTTACTCTTTGGATTTCTCACAAGCAAGACCCCTCAAAGACAAATGAAGCAATATTAACTGTAGGACTGAGTGGCCTGTGATTAAGAGGTTGTTGGCAGCGGTGGTTTGCAGCCAAAGGGTTTATTTACGGTATCCGCAGTCTAACAGTCCAACCTAGCAGGGGGTTGTTCCTTCAGCTGCTCTGTGTCTGCTTTTTTTTTTCTTCCAAACTGAAGCAATCATGGTGAATGTTGTAGTGTGCATATACTCTTCTTTACAACAGCTTTCTACAGTCAATGAGCTACCTCAAAGACACATCATTACATTTCTTCATACATCATTGTTGCTTTTTATGAAGAATTTGAATGCAGTAAGATAGTTTAACAACAAAAATTTGATTCTTTATGTAATCATCTTTGAAAGAGGCCTTTCTAGTACCTGAATTGATTAACATTGATCCAAACAATCAGAGAGATGATTGTAAAGCCTAGAAAAACTGTTTTGTGGTCCTTAAAAACAGTGTTGCAAGCAGAGATGGGTAGTACTTTAAGGAGTAGGTTTACTGTGCTGCACTTCTTACTTTTACTTGAGTAATGTTCTTGAAAAGTATCGCTACTCCTACTTGAGTAAAATATCTGACTACTCTGTCCTCCTGTGAGTTATTTGAACTATTCGAAAATCAGGTAAATATACGGTAAACAGTAAATATTAGCAGTGGAAAACTGTAAAAGTTTTTCTTCTGCATGAATTTGTTCTTTTATATTCATGATATTTATTTATATTCTTTAGAAATTTGAGTCTTTAAAATGCCAGAATAGAAAAAAAATCAGCTGTCAATATGCTCTATCCAGTATATTGTGGAAAGGTTTGAGTTTCATATAGTTTAATTTAATGAAAAGTCTTCTTGAAGGAATATTTGGCTATTTGATTAATAATCGACAGATTAATCGATTTGCAAAATAATCATTAGTTGCAGCCCTAGTCCTTTTGTTTTGTTTTTAAATTGAACCCACTAATGTTATTCCCCACATCCACCTCAACCATTTCAAGTAATCAGCAGAAGTTGATGCACTAAATCAAATACTAACGATGTCACACAACTTCACATGTATTTAAAGAGCTAAATGTATTTAAAGAGTAGGAATGCATGATGGTACCAATACAGAGATGAGTTATGCCCCTTTTTCACAGGATCCGCTTGACCTGCTTAAACCCAGGTGAGGTGAAGCCAGTGGAACAGAGGCACTATCTCAGTTGACATTAAGAATATCAAGTTTCATAAAAATGCTCCAGAATGACAAATAGAAACTGCATGGCCTCCTTTTATATATCTTACTGTCTTTTTAAACTGCCAAGCCATAACTTATAACAGGGCTCTACTGAGAGACAGTTTTCTTTCCTCATTCTATGCACACAGCAACAGTCATCACTATTCTTGCTGACACTTTCCTGATACGCTGTTGATAGGAGCACCAACAGAAAATGTGTTCTACTGCCTGGGAAGACTGATGAGGCTGACAGCCTTAAAGCTGACAGCCAGTATTTTAAATAAATACTCCAGGCTCTTTCTACTAAACATTTATATTTTTGAATAACAACCACAGTCACCTTTGTTGGTTTTAGGCTCAGTGTATGGTTTTTATTCATATTTTTAATAGAGTAACTCAGAACTTGAAACCAAAATGTCTCATGTCAGTACACTATGAGTTTGCCAACCTCAGCCTGACACTTGCTAAAAGTCAACCATGGGATGTGGATTGCATGCATTATTGTTGTTACCAGGCACAAAATAAATAAATTACAAATACATCAGAGTTCTAAATGATTAAAAAAACATTGCGGTTAAGCAAGAAGGTTATCAGAATTTTATAGTTTCAGATTGAATTTAAAAATTTAATTCTAGGTCTGCATAATGTTGGAATGAGCTTTGAATTATGTAAGAGATGCCCGCCTGTTCTGACACCACTATAAAGGAAAATGTAGGAGGTAGTGAAAAAATATAAATTACTTTTATGAAAGTGCCCTGACCTTGGACAAAGCCATGAAAGTGGAAAAAAATACAGCTTTTTTTTTAAAGATATGTTTTTTTTTTATATGATATAAGTGAACCTGGTTAGAGTTAGCTCTTCAGTCAAAAGCATTCAGTCCAAAATATTTATGCTTTTGTTAAAGAAACAAACCTTTCTTTTCTGTGTACATAATTTTAGAAATATCATCAAATTTTGATTGAAATTTGTAAAGTATGCTCTTTTTTTTTCAGAAAACCTTGGCTGAATGAGTGGTTGGGTCACATGATTCATTTAATACTTCATTAAAAATAACACGTCATATAGTTTTTGTTAAGCTCACTAATGAAAAAACATTAGATCGATGCCAAACTAATTTCTTTTTTAACTTTGTTCTTTTACAGTGGAGTTTACATGAAGATGGATATGGTTGAATGCAAAATACTTTTTTTTTTTTCTTCAAGTCATACTCCCAAATTTAAAGAAATAAGGGTGCTGGTATGACCATATTATTATATTAAAAATGTAAAAGTAAATATCCAAAGGTTGTATTAACCTGTATTCAATTTACACGTTACTTTTTTAATCAATAACTGCCAGACAAACAGTTCGGCACCAAAATACGTGTAATAGATTTAGGGCTGGAATTTTAGCAGATTGATTGATCTGTTGATTATTTTTTCGATTAATCGATTAAAAATTGGACAGCCAAAGGTTCCTTAACGAAGTTTTTTGTGTGAAATGAAATCAGGTAAAACTAAAACTGGAGGAGTTTTGGATAGAGCATATTGACAGATGAAAAAGTTTTTTTATTTTTATTTATTTATTTATTTTTTTACAATTTTGGTATTTTTACTGCTATAAGTGGGTTGCTCTGTCAGCTAAAGGCATGTTTAAGAGCCTCTATACTCCAGTTAAAGATTAATCAATTACTAAATTAGTTGAGTACTATATCATCACTATATCAATCCCAATAATTCTTTCAGCTTTAAACAGATTACATAATCTACTGTAGGAAACAGGTGGATATTCATGAGTGTAAGTTTTAACAGTTGAATTTAGTTAGTATAAAAACCTCTACTGTATACATTTCATTAATATGTTTAAGGAGGGCTGTTAGACCTAATGACTTGATAAACAGTAAAAAAAAATTAAGACCCAATTCTATTGTTTTTAAACTGAGTTTTAGTAGAAATGCAATAGCTTACACTGCAGTAACTTATACTATTTATATCTTTAACAAACCAGAAACTGCAGTTTACCTGCCACCACTTTACTGTAAATAAGAAGTATAAGCTGAAAGACACCATCTCTGAAACTATGGTCAGCAGCACTGGAGACCCCTGGTTACAGTGCTGGCCCCTGTCCTCTTCACTTCATTCACCTTCTGTCCCAACGCTGAGCTGTGTCACATACAGAAGTATGCAGATGACACAGCCATTGTGGGGTGTATCAGGGTCAACAGAAAGGGGGAGTACAGGAGTCTGGTGGCGGTTTTTTCGCCACCTGTTGCCGCACCAACCACCTGGAGCTCAACATCTCCAATACGAAGGAGCTGGTCGGAGACTTTGGGATGAGTTGACCAAAGACTAAGCCTGTACTACCAGAGGGGGCTGATTTGAGGCTGTGGATTCATACAAATACCTGGAGGTGTGCCTAATAATAAGCTGGACTGGTCAACACACACCAACGACCTGCGCGGGAAGACACAGAGCAGGATGTACTTCCTGAGGAGACTGATGTCATTCAACATTTTTAATAAGCTGTTGGAGGTGTTCTACCAGTCTATCCTCTTCTACACCGTGGTGTGCTGGGGGAGCAGCACGTCCATGGGGGACACCTCCAGACTGGGCAAACTGGTGAGGCGAGCCCACTCTGTGATTGGCAGGAAGCTGGTCCCTCTGGGGACGGTGGTAGAGACAAGGACACTTAACAGACTGCTGGACATTATCAACAATGCTCTCTTCACCACTCAGAGGAGCCTGATCAGTGGGAAATTGTCTTTGCCAAATGCAGGACCAACAGACTGCTGAAGTCTTTTGTTCCCCAAGCCATTGAGCCGTACAACTCCTCACTTGGGGGAAGGAGGAGGTGATAGGAAGAGGGACAAGGGTCAGCAACCCCCCTCCTTGGACATCTTATTGAGTGATGTGTCATGTAGATCCATGACACATCACTGTGACCTGTACTCTCAGGTGGGATGGCCTTCCCTCTCTGCGAGAAGTCAGTGTCATTGGTACACTTTTATTTACATGGACCTTCTTGGAATACTGCCCTCTTACATTTGTACCTTATTTACACAGAAAAGCATGGCTTCTTCTGCCCTGAGATCCAACGATCAGCCTTTTGCTCACTGTTCCTTTTTCCCACACAGAACTAGGGAAGAAAGCCTTTAGTTACCCAGCTCATTGTACATGGAATCTTTCACAAAGAAACTGGAAATTGACTGAGTTTTTATCTTTAAATGCTTTTTAGTTGAACGTGAAAGAATTTGAAGCAGCCTCAATGATCTGTAATTGTTTTTACTTGGTATGCGTTTTTTTTTTTTTTTTTATGTACCTGTCATTTATTTTAATTTAATATTTTTCTTATGTAACTTTGCTGCCTCTTGGCCAGGACCCCCTTGAAAAAGATGTTTTAAATCTCAATGGGGATTTTTTTTCCTGGTTAAATAAAGGTTAAATAAAAAAAAATGCATGACCTATTGTCACTCATATGCAATATTCTCTCACTGTGCAATAACAAATGCCAACTACTGTGGCATTTGTTATTGCAGTACATCTCTGGTCAGTACATCTCTGCAGTGCAATTGCAATAACCCAAGTCAATTACTGTGTAGTCTTCCTTTAGCTTTCTAGTGTGCAGATATTTTATATCTAAGGGAAATATATATCTCAGGACATTACAACTTTTTTTTTTTAATGCTTTTTTGTACTATATACGCTCTTTTTATATTGTGTCATATTTTTGTCTTTGATGGCATCTTGCTTTAACTCTTTGTAATCTATATAAGCTACTGGAACCACAATTTCCCACGAGGAGTAATCCCAAGGGATAAATAAAGTTGAGTCTATAAGTATATGTATATATAAGTCACCTGAAATCTCTCCTTTATTTTTTACCATCCACTGTATACTGTATATCTGGATGCACTGTATATACATAATGCACCGTTTCCACCTCCTGTTTGTTTATAAAAGCCGATGTCACAAGTGAATTTCTCCATTGTGAGATCAATAAAGTTCTATTCTAAAAGGATAGTTCCTTTTTTATACATCCTTATCCCTCTTATGAACCTTTAATATCACCATTTGGATGCAGAAACCCTCAGTTAGTGAATGAAGGAATGTTTAAATGGCATGTTCTGTCCTGAAATGACTGCTTGCATTAATATCTGTCTTTGCATTAAGAATCTTAATATATTGATGTTTTTGTCATCTGTTTGGCTAGCTGAGCCCCCCCTCCCATAAAAATCTTTATCCTGCTCTGTAACCGCTCCTTGAATGAAGTCAGCTCATTAGAAGCTCACACTACCAGATCCACACAAGGAATTACTGCTTCATTGACTTCATGAGCTGCCTTTAATAAAGACAAATGAATATGAACTTCAGATCTGAAATATTCCTTTCATCTTATGGTAGCATTATTCCATTTTCCAGCACGTTCACCTCCCCTTTCCTCCATTTTAGTGTCTCTGGTGTGTCTCTGCTTTTCACCCCTGTTTTCCATTTAATCAGCTCTCAGAGGACTCGAGTCTGGATAATTAGTGACTGAAACTTTAATCACCATGGATTTAGAGCCGGGAGAGACTGGCTTTTCAAAAGGACACAAGCAGAATATAATCATAAATATAAAGCATTGTTAAACAACAAAAACTCCTTTTGTAAATGAAAACACTCATTTGCTAAACAAAAAAAAGGCAATTGAAGCATTGAAGGCACATGCTGGGCTAATAGTTGCATAGCAGCATTGGGTAGCTTGATAATAAGACTGCATTTCCCAGGAGGTTTATAAATGCTGCTACCTGTACCAAACCTGCTCTTACCAGCTCTTCAAACCTCCAAACATCTGTTTCATTCTTTTCTCCTGCTAGTTGTGGTCTCTGTAATATTTCTTTTATTTTTTAGTCTCAATTTTCAATTTTTATTACTCATTAATATTACTGAAGGACATGAGTGTTAACAACAGAACTACATCCTGTTTAACACATCTATGAGAATAAAATTGTAAATCACTTGGCTGCTTAAGAACCATGTCTTCTGTTGGAGTTGTTTGACATGATACAAAAAAAAAAAAATGTGCATGTGAGTAAAAAATATAAATTGTTTCCAGAAAAAGAAATCCAATTTTTTGGTTTATATTTTCTCTAGATTGCAAAAAAAGAAAAATGTATAAAACATTTATGGTGTCTTTTGGCTCAGTGTTTACTGATCACTATTTAAAAAAAAAAAAAAAATTGAAGATTTGTGATGCCCTTTTTTCTTATCAGATTTTTAAAAGCATTACCGGTATTTTAAATTGTATAGTTTATGAGTATATCTACAGATACGCAATATTAGAATTTTGACAGATATTCAACATGCCAAGATTTCATATTTCCTCTGGCCGATTCACTAGACTTCCTTATAGAAACTTTAGAGTTTTCTGCCTCCTGTTCTGTGTAGTCATTGCACATAGCATAGCATTATTTGAGTGTGCATGGCATGCGAGTGCAGCAGGCACAATCCTCATTTTTTTTATCACAAAAAATTTGCTTTTTATTCTGGTTGATGCACTAAATGATGATGATGCTAAAAATCCTTTCAGGGGGACTCAGTGAAATACTCTTGAAAATCAAAATTTCAAGCCATTACTTTGGTAAAATTCTAAAAATATGTTTAATTTGATGGCAAGAATTAAGGTCAATGTAATAACAAGAAACAGCCAATTGCCCTCATATACTCTGTACTGTTACTAGCAATATCTTTGCTGAATAGCTGGATATGAATCTTGTGCTTCGAGACCTCTTTAATGGATGGGGGACTCCGTTTCTAAGGGGTATGCAAGTGATCAAAAACGGTAACTTATATAAATAATATAATAAAGGGTTAAACTTATTAATGCTTCAGTGTTTTTTCCCCTGCTGAGAATAATTTCCATTAGATATTAGAGTTAAAATACAACAGTAATGTTAATTTAGTGCAAAGTGCTTTGAATTAGCTAGAAAAACACTATTCATTTAGTCTGTTTAACATTTTATTTTATCTTGCATAGAAAAACAGATGACAAGCCAACATTTGCCTCAGTACTATTACAGAAGGAAGTATTTACTTAGGATTTAGTTTTGCGATATATTAGAAAAAATATTTTTCTAATATAACAGCTAAGTGGAGGTTAGCTTGAAAACAAGCAGATTTCTCCACACTTCAGCAAATTAAAGTCCTCAACCAGCTCAAAAAAACATTATAAAGCTTTTAAACACCTAATTACATCTGTAATAAAGATTATCTATCTAGCTTTTCAATCTGAAAAACTCACATGAAGAGAAAAGACCATTAGGAGACATTTATTGATACAATTACTTTGTCCTTGGCGCTCAGACCTCGGCAAGAAACATAGCGCTTAACTTTGCTTTATGGGGAGATCTAGTGGATTGCGTGGGCTGATACTAGAGCTTCACTCAGGGACCTGGAGGCATGATGAGCAAGCATGAAGCGACAGTGGAGAGGAAAAACACCCCGTTGGGAAGCAACCTCTGGCAGAACCAGGCTCAACATGTCGGTCTTCTGCTGGACCGGTTGAAATTACACAGGGAACGCAGTAAGAGTCCAGGAGGAATGACACTCTGATGAAGCTTTAGCTACGATGGTGGAGAAGGGGCTGGAGGTGGGTTGAAACAGTTTCATCTGAATGAAGTCACACAGGAACAGACAGTGCGTATCGGAGGCCTTTTAAGATGAACCTTGGATGCCGATTGGCTTTCGTGGAGGTGTGGTTCAAAGCTGATTGGCTGTGTCACAGGTGGATGTATGAAAAGCAAAACTTCCGCCTAGGCTCCATATTTCAGTAGCACAACAATTAAAAGTGAGGAGAAAAGATAAGTAATGTAACACACAAAAAAAGTCATTTAAAAAAAGAATAAATGACTGATAAAAAATGAAAGGAAAGCTAGCATCACCCACACAGAAACTCAGCTTTAACAGTGTAATACAAACTTATGTTATTGTATGTAATGGCATAGTGGCTGTTGATATAACCGACTTTGATTAGAAAATATATAAAAGAAAGAATTCCTCATAGAATAATTAAAACCGTGCTAGCTGTAAAGGTACATGTTATATCTCCTCACTAGTCTAAAAAGGGAACCTCTTGCTAAATGTGTTTGAAAGTGTTTTTTGAAAAAAAAAGGGCTATTTTTACCCAGCAACTGGCCTCCAAACCGTAAGATTATATTCAGCTGCTCCTCATTCATTTTAAAAATGTGGTTTGAATCGTGCAGGTGTTACAGCAGAGGCAGTGCATAATGTTTACAATTGAAGGTCCATGCTTGTCGTCTCATTCATGTAACAGTGCTCCCTAGTGGGATGCACGAAGCACTCTCTTTATGATCACTTTGGCTTAGATTTATGTTCAAATTCACCCTATTCACTCTATTTCCAGTTCTTATATGAAAGCTAATCTATTAATTTGCTGTTACCAGAAGAAAATGACAAATATGAGGATAAATGAAGGTTATTTGAAACATATGTTAATTAAATGTGCATTTGGTTGTTGAGTCCCCAAGCAAAGCAGTCTTCTCTCAGCTGAATTAGATTAGTTTTAGCTTGTGATGGTCCCACTGAAAGCCTTCATGGATTATATCTACAGAGATTCTAAGTGTGCTTCTTGTTTAACTTGACGCCTGATTTGATTTGACAGACCAGTCGTGTAAGGTGCCTCTGCAGACTTTTAGGTCAGCTGACGAGGCGAAACATGTTATTGACTAAGTGCATGTACTTAGCAGGCACAATAAAGATAATCACACAGCTTGGATGTTTTTCCTCATTAATTGAGAATTTTTCATAGGTTTGATGTCCCTTTCCTTAAAATCTACTCCTTTAAGTAGTTTTTTGTTGTTGTTTTTTTGGCATTAGTAAATCAAACTATCTCGTAGTTGACTTTAGAAGAGAAAGTATGTTGAGCAATTTGTTCTCCTGAAAAAACAAAGAAAGAAGAACGAGTGCTGCTGTTGATGTTTTTTAATTATTGAAGTAGAGAAAATACCTGCATATAAATATATAGTGCCTTCCAAACGTATTCCTACCGTTCCTACAAATTTTAAGCTTAGGTTGACTGATCTAGTGATAAAATCTTTAGTCATTCATTCTACAAATGTGGACTCTGGTGGAAGAGTGACAAAGAAAAAGTGAAACTAATTTATAGTTTGGAAACATGGGGAAAATGGCTCTGGGAAGGTGAGACCAAGATTGAGTCTGTTAGCCTAAATGCTAAAAGCTACACCAACCGGAACATCCACACCACTGTTCACCATGGTAGTGACAGTATGATGCTGTGGGACAGTAAAGCTGGATAAACCTTATTAGATTACAGATGGAGCTGGAGGGAAATCATGAAGAAGCCTTTTTAGAAGCTGTAAAAGACTTTGAACATGGTTGATCAGCTCCTAGATGACCAGTCTATCTGAAATTTATATATTTTAGCAGGACACTGGAAAATTAAGATCCACTGTGGTTTAACAGTCCAACGCTGAGTAAAAATGAACAATGTAGGCATCTCAGATTTAGTTTACTCATTCCTTTTAGACCCACTCGGATACACTAATGTGTCTGTTATTTTCTTTTCCAGTATGAATTCAAAGCCAAGAACATCAAGAAGAAGAAGGTCAGCATTGTGGTGTCTGTAGATGGAGTCAAAGTAGCACTGAGGAAAAAACAGAAGGTGAGTCAGTAGGAGTAAACTCTACAATATGAAGGTGTTACATTTTATCCAGCCTTAACAGCGCTGATGTGTACCCAAACAGAGAAAAGAGTGGACATGGGATGAGAGCAAGATGTTGATCATGCAGGATCCAATATACAGGTCAGCTACAAGCTCAAACTGTCAGATGGAAACTTCCATCCTGACTTTATTTATTTAATATACAGTTTGTTGGTCTTTGATTTACAATATGAATCTGTTATATTGAATTATGTTTAATGCATTAATCTAAGGTGTTCTTTCATGTTTTTAAGCATTTATGACTCATTTCTAAGCAACTACAGGACACACGAACATGACCATTAATCTCAAATTTTTAAACTATGCCTACACTAAGTTATCTGCAAACGGGAACTAATGTATTCACAACAGTAAATGTTTTTCTGTGTGCTGTAAAGAGTAAGATCTCTTCCACTTTGGTCTACCATTATTTAGGCCATTGTTTTAAATTATGAGTATTTAAAAAGTCAGTCTTTATGATTTTATTCCACTCAGCATGCCTACCGGCTTTCATCATTTACAGGATTTTTTACGTATCTCACGACTCCCAAGACTTGAAGATCTTCAGCTACATTGCAAGAGATGGCTCCAGTAATTCGTTCAGGTGTAACGTCTTCAAATCTAAAAAGAAGGTACAATTTGCCCCACGGTGCAATCTCCTAAAACACATTTAGGTGCTTATTGATGACAGAGAAAGTGGGTAAACATTTCAAGATGTTCATCCACAGGCTGCAGAAGGTTAAAGTCGCTGTATACATAATGGACTAGAGTGTTTTCTGGTTCACGAATGCTGTCTATTTTTATTTTATTTTTGTTACAGAAACATTTAAGATTTTCCAGCAAATGGAATAATAGAAAAATGAAAAAAATCACATGCTTAAGGTACTTTTTAACTGGTAAAACTGGTGATGCCATTATTTCTTGGAAAGAAGCTATCCAAGCCTTGTGCTACTCGGATGACCCTCACTGGAGTTTGCTATAATGTTACAGGTTTACTGCCTTTTCCAGACTTTTACAGATATCAGACCCTCATTGGTTTCATTTCTTGAAGGGACTGTTCTGTTATAATATCTTTTACCCTTCTTCATGTTGTCAGATAGGTTCTATTTAATTGTTATCTTGACTCTACTGGTCTGGCCGTCACCATGTTTGCTTTTTGTGAATTCAAATAAAAAACATGGTTAATCACAGTTAGTCATTAATCCTGGTGGGTTATTACAATTTTAACATCAGAACCTGTTGGTTTGAATTTTTTTTTTTTTTTTTACTTTATAACAGAAATAAATGTAAGAAGTTGATGCTCTTTGCCTTATGTTAAAATTAGTCAAAAATAGAAGAAATCTATCAGCGGACAATTACTTTTTTCTCTTCATTTTCAATTTTGCCTCCTTTTGGAATCCATTTTCTGATCATGACTTTTCGGTTATCCATTTTGAGTTTTTAAATAATCTGGATTTCAATTTCTGTTGGCTCAGTTAATATCAATTCACTTAGCAGAACTACAGCCTACAGTGCAGTGCATACAAAGGAGCTGTGTTAAATGACAAGGCATACAAATGCATATTACAGAAAAGGATCATTGTCTTTGCTCAGATATCCAGTATTTCCCTAGTAGTCAGCTCTCCCACAGCAGTGTTATTCATATTTTATTCTTCTATAAAAATAGATTAGCTGAGTAGATAAATGTGTTGCATCTTTCTTCTGTAGTGTTTCATACAGCATATTCTGTTCACTTTTGAATGCCTCTCTATGCTAGCTGGGACCTAACTCTTCCCTCCTCCTCAGACTCAGGCTATGCGTATTGTGCGAACAGTGGGTCAGGCATTTGAGGTGTGCCATAAGCTGAGTTTGCAGCATGCTGAGAAGGACGCTGATGGACAACCAGATGGAGAGAGTGATAAGTCAACGGAGGAGCCCAGCAGCTACGGTGAGGACTTAATTGTATCTTAACAGCACCAAGAAATTGTAAAAAACCACATTAATGAACCTAAATGTATTACCGCCGGGGAATTGATGAGATGTCATGATCTGATGATATTAAAATGTAAAAACACATTCTGTGGAGGGGAAGGTTGTCAGGCAAAACGCTTTCCAGTTGCCATAGGATTGACCTTGTCTGACAAACCTAGCAGATAAATCACCTGGTAGAAGTTACTTATCATAAATACTAAGACAAGTCATGAAAGGTTTATATATGAGAGCCAACAATTTTATATCAACTCCTCAGGATAAGTTGATGCACAGATGGGCAAATGAAGAGACCTCCCCGTGTGTCTTCATCTGAAGACTTGCTGTGTCTGTTAGGCTGTAGGGCTGAAAGACCACAGCCATCAAGAAGCAGTTCTCTCAGTGTAATACATGTTTGTATTTATACTTTTACTTTGATAGAACTTCAATTTTAACTGCTTATCCTAAATGGCCATTGTTGCATTTAGAGGAAAAGCATTCCAGCTGTGAAGGGTGGCAGCAATCCTGTTACCGGTATTATTGGTATTTTGCTGGTGGAGGGGCTGCTGCACTGCACAAAGTGATCTCTGCCCCGAGGGAAAAACTTGATGTGGAAATATTCTAACAAAATTACAAACAATCTAGCCTGGTAAACCAGACTAAATGTGAGATTAAATGTGTAATGTAGTCTGGCCCCGATGAATTAGACATCGGAAGATAGTTGATGAGAACAAACCTGCAGGCTTTGTAATCTGTTATTGTGGGCAACAAGTCTTAAGATGTTCGGTTACAGTTTGTAGGGAACAAGGAAACATTACTTTGACTCAGATGCAACTTCAATCCAAATTTAAAAGCATGTGAAAGGTTCTTATGTAAGAGTTTCTTTACATATTCACAAACAAAAATACTCTATGTATCCAGCTTTTTTGCATAATTCAGCAGGCTTTAAGTGTTATTTCAAGAAATGGAGAAGGTTTTCTTTAGAGACCAGACCAAAAAAAAAATCCAAGGAACTTTTTGCATGTAAATCAAATAGAAGAAAGCTGGGAGCCACTCTGAAGACCTCCAGGTCAAAAACAACTACTACTAAAGTTTTATATTGACCTAGAAGACCAAAAGACAGGAAGACCCCGCACAAAATATAACAACTATTTATAGAAGTTATATATATAAATGTAACTTTTTTTCTGATCTCTTTAGCTGTAATGTTCAGATAGATTCATTTTTACTGATCTGTTTAATCAAGTGACAGAAATGCTGTAATTTTATCACAGTATGGATTATGTTGTGATGTGAGCACCTGTTGGGAACATCTGACACGCATGCAGTGACACAATGAGTCCTCATCAAATTCACCAGCCTCAGCTTGAGATTAGTGATTACCTCTGAACCTGTCAGCGTTTTCATCTACCTAGTTTGTTGTGAAACAAATAAAAGTTTCTTGTTTATACATAATTCACTTGAGTGATCTGACCTGGATATTAAGCCCCCCTGAGGCAAATGGTACCTTTTTGTTTTATTCTCAGCCAGAAACTGAAAAAGACTGAGGTTCTTTGCAAAGCTGTCTTTTTGAGACCTCAGAAGCTTTGAATAAATGTATTTTTCATCTCTTTAAACCTCAGCTGCTCAATGAAAAAACAAGCAACAAGCATAAAAGCGGCTTAAGGATTTTGGCTAATTGTGTGTCTTTGATTTTTTATTATCATTTTAAATCTTTATTTCAGGTGGATGTGCAAAAAACTATTTTTTATGAATACATGGTGGTATTAGAAACTTGACATTCTACTATTAGTGTCATATTGATTAAATAGCTGTCACAAGCAAGGATTCGCCTTTTAAGGGCACTTTAACCCCGAAATGTTGGTTTCCTTTTGAACGCGGCTTTTGAAATGCCTAATTGAAGCTAATACTACAGTAAAATTTTACCAGCTTATTATTCTTGAGCAGTTATCAAATAGAAAAAGCAAAGATGCCCAGTAAAGCAGGATAATGCACAAAAATAAGGAAAAACAAATACTGTAGACTTAAATGCCCTTTGAAACTGGTGTCTGTGGGCTGAACCTAAACTGAGCTAATAGCTGTAATTTACTGAGTGAAGCCCTGTTTCCAAGGCATTACAAAGCTCTTCATCATGTCTAGGCAAATTACTTTATTTTTGCGCTTATAAAAGCTTTCAACAATCTTGTCATCTATGTTAAACCTTTGAGTTTTGACTGGTTTAATCTCACTTGTTTTAGCTTTTAAAGGACCTTTGGGAATTTTCACCAGAGTTTAGCACATAAGGAAGAATCCAAAGTGAAATCTTTTTCTTTGTCAGCTCATAAACTCACAGGAAGTGAACAAGATGAAGAAGATGAAGGCCTACATGACAGAGGGAGTGGAGCAGGAGGAGGAGATTCTCTGGTTGGTGGTACACTGTGCGAGAAGACAGTCAGTGAGATTCTGCAGAGCCTGACTGAACTGAACGTGGTGAAACCAGGCCTGACTATCATGGTAAGATACTTGAGAACACATATGCACGCTTTGAAATGGTAGAGCTACATCAGCAAACATATGATAGGTTTTCTTAAATTTGAATATTCGGTCCTCTTCTACAACACTGTATAATTGTTAATTGGATAGTAAGAAGACTTTCTATGGAGTCCATGCAGAAACGGGACATGTCGCACAGGAGAATGTAACGGACAGTATAAAGTATTAACAGAGAGTGCAGCTGAATAGAGAGCAGTTTAATGGAAGAATCCAGAGGTGGGCAATGAAACATAGGGGCTTAAATACTGGAGCTGGGTTGGAGAAATAACTAGCAAACAACAAAAGGAGTCAAAGTAGCTGCAGGGCAGCTATAATAGGAATAAAAAAAACACAGAAGCTGAGAGAGGGAGACTAATTATGAGCTGAATATGGACACAAATAACAAAAAAAAACAACTATCAATCAAGGGGCACAGATGTACAGAGACAAAACAGAAATAACACTAAATATCCAAAAAAGCCTAAAGTGGCCTAAATGAACAAAGGGAACAACAAAAAAATGGAGGCAAGTAAAAAAAAAACAGAAGCAACCTGGAGATCATGACTCATCTATATCAACTCACTTTGTTGCTGGTTATATAACATATGAGGAGAAGGCAATGTATAAGAAAAAAAACAGCAACAAAAATCAACAAAATACAGAGAATTTATAACACAGGATTTCTTACATGTCGAAACACCTTTAATTGCAGTAATTCACTGGTTTAGCAATGTATTTATAAAGTTCTGCAACTACAGGGTTCTTTATAATTTACGTAGAATATTGAAAACCAATAATTACTTTGCATTTTTTCTAAAAAGAGATAACCTTCAGCCTTAACTTCCCCCTAAAGCGCATGAAAATAATTTTGATCAACTTTTGGCTAAAGATATTAAACAATTAGGAGTGGAATTTTTCTAATGGCCTAATTAAAAAACAAAAATATTTTTAAACTGAATGGTACAATTTACCACAAACAAGTATTAGGATTAATCTTTGTATTGATTTTAATTTCAAAGAATAGATCATAGGGTTCCCGATATTTAATTTCAGTTTGTTCATGTTTAATCAGCATCAGGCAGCAACTGAAGAGGAACAAGAGTTCTAGCATTTAGCACATCCAGAACTCTAATCAAAACATACCGGTAATGCTTCTTCCACATCTAGAAAACAAGGGTTTTTAAAACTTACTACTTAGAACCTCATTAGTTTAAACGTGATTTAAAAAGGGGGATGTAGTTTTCTAATCTTTTAAACATCTAAATTATATATTTGGCGAAGTTTGCATTAGATAATGCATAATAAGCAATTCTGTATTTTGTACTTTTGAAAAAAGGAAGAAAATAGTTTGTTTTGATAACATTTTGGATCAGCTCTGTAGAACACATTTAAAGGTCTGCCACACACAAAAAAACCCTCTCATTTACTGTAAACATTATTCAGACAGCAAAGAGTGCACATTTTCACATACATAAACTTCCAAAAAAGACCTTTTAAAACAGATGGTCAGTTAATTAAAGCCTCTAAGTTGGGTTTGACCTTCTAAATGTATGAACCAGATATGTATTAGGTTCAAAAGAAAGCTTAATTAAACAAAATGAATGTTTTTCAAACTTGCAGTAAAGGTATATTTGCCAAGATCATTTAATCAGGTCTATTGTTCTGCAACAAGTTTTATTTTGCAAAGCCATATGCATGGACATGCAAAAGTATTTATTCACTTGGAACTGTTTCCCGCTTTCATGTTACAACAAAAAGGTGTTTTTTTATGGAATTCACGTGTTTGAGCAACACAAAGTAGACCATCATTTTTAAGTAGAAATAAAAAAGATGTTTTCATTTTTTCAGTTGATATTTTTCATTTTTACCAGAATCTCTTTTAACACAGTTAACTTGTGCAAAATTATAATTTTGTATTACAAAAAAGAGGGAGGTTCTTAATACATGTATTTTCTTTTGGTTAATGTGTTTTAATTGCTAAGATGAGGCATGTTCAAGATCAACATTAGTTGTTCATGTTGAACATGCCTGTTTTTGTTGGGTTCTGTTCCCCTCTAGTGGTTAAATTTGGGCATTACAAAAGGGCATCCACTTGTTTTATACACTGGCAGAAAGACAAACGGCAAAAATAGATTCCATGTGTTTTTATGCATGGATGCTGTCTCACTCAGCACCCCCACCTAAGAGATACACATAAGTTTCTCAGTGAGATCCAGCATATTAAGCAGAATTATCTTTCTCCGTCCATCCTTGTGCTGACGTAGTGAGCTGCAGGGACTGTCCTTTTTCCGCTGCAGATCATCAGGTAAATCATTTTAAAGTGCCCATGGGGAACACTGGTAGACAATTGGACCAGAGGTTTTTATACATAGGATATGATATGGATCTCTGATTATTCTCTTTATTGTAATTTTGAAAAGAACATCTCAGATCAGATCTTTAAATCTCCAAGGACAGGGAAGCTAGTAAGCTTTTGGGAACTGAAAGCACATATCTTAAAAACCACAGTGTTTTTTTTTTTGTTTTTTGTTTTTCTATTACTAGAACAATAACCTTTTTTCTTTTTTTTTCTGATACATTTTGTCAGGATATTGATCAAAGGTCTGTCTACACTGTGACGTCCCAAGGCATCACTGCAAACAGCCCACGCTCTCCGTCTCTTACTCCACTGGCTTCTCAGCACTACCTGCAGCTCCTCCAGCAGCAGCTGCAGCAGCAACAGCAGCACACGCAGGTGGCCGTCGCACAGGTAGGACTCTCACACAGTTAATTAGTTTGAGATAGGTGTGGCGATTAAAAGTCTTACTAAATGGAAGCTCACAAAGGTGTGAACCTTAGGTCAACCACACACAGGCTTACTGTTTTCCAATGGGAACAGTAGGAAGCAGATTACAAGCGTAAGAATATTCTGAAGATCTCTTCATATTGTCTTATTTAAGGATTTTTTTTTTTAATTGCATTAGATAATTTTGATTTCTGTTTCTTTAACTTACAAAAACAAAAAAGAAATTAACTTTAGCAAATAGTGCCATGCACTCTACAGTTGTTTTATCTTATTCTTTTTTGATAGATACACAGCAGACTGGATGTATCATTATGCACCTAATTAGTCATGCTTTTGGACAGTATATTGTGATATAATATAATACATTACAAGACAGTACAATTGATATAATATAATCCAAGATGCTCAGAAAGTAAAAAATGTTTAATGCTTTTTCTGCAACACTAGGGGGCAGCACAGAAACAAAAATAAGGACTGATATTTAACGATTACATTAACAGGTAATAAAAACTTCATGATATTTTTAGTAAAAGCTGCACTGCATTAATGCTTACCATTTTCTTTTATGTGGAACTTAGTTTAACAAACCTCTTAGCTATTCAGCTTCAAGGAAGCTATGAAACATCAACAGCATTTTAGTAAATTGAAATGATCAATATGGAGGAGCCTTTATTTTTTAAGTTATGGCTTATTATTTGAGTGTGGTGGGAGGTGAGATGGAATGGGAGATTAGACAGAATAATCAAAGTGGCATTTTAATGGATTTACATTCTGCCCTCTGCTCCTCCTTTAGGTTCAGCTGCTGAAGGACCAGATAGCAGCAGAGACCGCAGCTCGCATGGAGGCTCAGGCCCGCATCCACCAGCTGCTGCTGCAAAACAGGGACCTGCTGCAACACCTGGCGCTGCTGGTGCAGCAGCTGAAAGAAATGGAGGGCCAGTCCCAAATAAAAACACAAGAAGGCCAGTCACAGCAGGACACTCAGGCTAACAGACTCGGTAAGTGACCCTATGAATGACTAGTAGGACGGGGGGGTAATTTAATGCAGGCAATGTCAGGTCAGCTTCCTCAAGTGTTACTGTCTTCACCACAGGCTTGTTTCTTTGTCTGCATATGAAACAGACAGTCGTTGCACTAATCATGCTCACATCCTCCCACTGCCTGCAAACAGAATATGTTTCATTGGTTCAGAGGCTTTTAGGAATACAGCCTTACAAAGAGTTTTCCCTTCTTGCCACTTTAAACATTTTACTGAACAAAACAGAGAAAGAAGCTGTCATCGAGGTGGGACTAAAAGCAATTCAATAAATCCTTAATGATGGACAAGGCTTTTTCTATTACATTTTTAATAAAAATATATTTTCAGTTCATGTTCTTTCATTTTCTCAGGTGTAAATAAAAAGAATAGAAGTAGTTATTTGGTGCAAAATAAAGATGCAGTAAGAGATTTATGGCTTAAATTTTTTATATTTTTTTACATAAAAATTTTACCTTGAGTTTAATTAAGTTAGCAGATTTAATTTAACTAATTTAATATACAGCTAAGTAACTAAACTTATTTCATTTCCAATTAAACTGAATTCTCTGGTTAGTGAAAGCTATTATAGAGGCAGGAAGCAATATTAAAATTAGATGTTTCTTCTCAGTACTTGGACATAGCTCAGCAGCATTTAAACAGATGATGTAAAATATCTGATATACTGAAAATGTACCTTTCCTCTGATTTGCCAATCACATTAATGTTCATTGTGATGGAGAGGATGCTGAACACCTCTTAAAGGGTGTAACAAAGAAATTATAAAATTGAAGTCATGGTTTGATAAAGATAAGTTGTCGGGGCGACAGTGGTGTTGGATGTAGGAGTTTGTCCTGAAATCAAAGGGTTGACTGTTCAAGCACCGGCTCACGGTTTCATTATGTCCTTGGGCAAGACACCTGCCCGGTGGCGTCGGTGTGCGTGAATGAGTGAATGTAGAGTAAAGTGTTCAAGTCCTCTGACTTGAAAAAGCACTATATAAGTACAGCCCAAAATATTTAGATGTTAGGTTCCATGAGTATAACACATTTCTGAAGATCTAATGTATGTTTTATGTAGTATGTTAATGTTGAAATTATGTGCTATATAGATTAGAACAGTAGGACAGAACCATGGAGGATTGAGGTTAAATATATTCAAATTCCATCCACTCATTTTTGTATGTGAACCTAATCTCTACTGGATTATGTTATTAAGCTGATAACCTGTGAATAATTAAACAACATAAAGCAACTGAGCAAAAAGCAAGGTTAAAGACCCTGATCCAAAATTTAACATCTTTATTAGCAACAATGTGAATTAATTGGAATTTTGCATTTCAATATGATTCACTTGGATGGATCGGTCTGTGCGGCCTTAAGCTGAAAGAAATAATATAATATATGACCTTAAAAGAAGGTGCATGTGGTTAAACAAAAACAATATTGCTGATTTATAATTAAAAGGACTAAATTTAATCAGTTCTGTCTGTTTAAAGTCAATCAACTGTCTGTTTCCTGTAACCAAAAAGCAGAGTGGAAAGAAGCAATAATTTCCACTTGGTAAATTGCAAAGGATTGGATATCAAAAATGAAACAACGCAGGTCGTTGTTTAAATATGTTGAGTTTAAATTATATTTAATTAACAACAAAATACTGCAGTAAATATGAAAAAATACTAAAGTAAAATTATGCATACATGTTATATGACAACTATCATCCACTCCACAATTTGGGCTTTTCTGTACTTAGCAGTTACATCAGGAAAACCACCATTTAAATAATTTATATGAATTCTTTAAGGTTATCATCAGAAAGGTAGACACCATAACTGACCTTTTTGGTCTTCATACTAATTATTTAATTAATACTGCACATAATTCTCAAAAGTCTCCTCAAATGGAACAAGATAGCGGCAGCATCATGCTGTGGGAATGTTTCTCCTCAACGGGGCTTGAAAGGCCTTTGGTTAGGTTGGAGATTCGCTTTGCAGGATGAGAACAGCCCTGAACATCAAGCTAAAGCTACATTTTAATGGTTTAAAGCAAAGCAAATTCTGTGATAAAATAACCAAATTAAATAGAAGACTTAAGAATCTAGGGCAAAACTTATAACACTGTTTACAGATGGCAGTCTGTCTGACTAGAAGATCTTTTACAAAGAAAAATAGGCAAAGCTTTTAAAGATAGATCTCAGAAGTGTCATTAAAGAGAAATAAACTATTCTACAGTCTTTCGTTAAAAGCTTTACAATATTTATGAGAAGTATGTATATATATATATATATATATATCTATATATATATATATATATAGATATAGATATATATATATATATATATCTATATATATATATATATAGATTTATAGATATATCTATATAGATATATATATACATATATATATAGCGTCTATCATATAAAGTCCCAACAGAAGGAATTGTGAAATTTTTTTAGGGGTTTCAATATGATGCAAAGTAAAGTAGAACATGGCAGCACTGAAACATTTGTGGATGGTCTATTATGATGTGTTCTTGGTGGTCTATAAACTAGAATAAATAGTATTTTGAATGGAAAACAAATTTCAAAATAATTGATACTGACTGTAAAACTTTGCATAACTTTTATAATAGAAACTTAGCTATTCTTTAAAAATAAGCAACCAATCAGAAGGATTGTAAACAACAGCAGACAGCTGCCACAGTGTGTCCATTGCTCATGTCTGATACATTCATGGAATCGTTCACACCGATATGTTTCAATACTGTGACATCAAGGCTGTGGTTGTCTCTAATTCTTTGCACATAATGATTATGGTTGATGTTAAACCATAATAGCAACAGAGACGCTTTAATTTCAGAGCACAGAAGCAAGGGCTTTAGTTGGATGTCAGCAGGATGACTTTGACTAATTATCACTAAACACAAATTAGACTAAGGCTTAGGTCATCCTCATGCCATCCAGATCAAAATGGTGTATTCATTTGAGGCATATTGAAAAAATGAGATTCCTTCAAGAGTATTGCTGTTTTTTAAGCTGTAATATTTGAATGTAAAAACTGTTCCTCAACTTGCCTTTGTTTTATAGCCCAAGAGTTTCACACACATTCTTTCACATTTCAAACTGTGCTGAGTTCATTTTTAACTGCCTTCTGTCTGCATTATCCCACGCTTAGAGGCTCTCAGTGAGAGTTCTGTTTGAATGAAAAACAGGTATTTTCTGGTCCTTACAATAATTTTTAGTCATCTGTATTTAAGATAGGTAGAAAAAATGTGTGATTTTCCTTTAGTGGTGATAAATAAACACATACTGAGTTTTCCCTTTTGTCTACACGTCCTATAATTTGTCACATCGTGTTTCATGCTTTTATTAATCATTTTTTTCCCTTCTGATAAAAAATGACATGATTGGGGTGGGTGGTGGGGGCAATGACAGGTTCTCCTTTGTGCTGAGTCATCAAATCATAAAGAAAATCTAGCTTTTGGTTTTCTTTTTTTCTACTATCCTCTCTGTCTCTTCCAGATGCTCCACAGACGGCACCCAGTTCAATCTTTACTTCAGAAAAATCATTATCCTTAAATCTGAAAAACCAGTACAATCAGGCCTTGGACCAGCTCATCACCTCCGCTCCTGCATGGCCCCTCTACCCCAGCCAAGGGGAGTGTGCAGAGTCCTACCTGAACCTGCTGAACCTGGAGAACAACAGTAAACCAGCAGCCCCGCTAACTGAGCAGGACCCCTTCATCAGAGCCAATGGCACAGTGGAAAACAAGGAGGGCTCCAACAGCGAGGTCGTCCAGTTCTCATCTAGAAACTCTGCAAACGTGGATGAAAAGTAAGTCTGCTGATGTCATGCTGAGAATACGCAGGTCCATGCTGCTTTGTATTGTTTCATTATGGATAGATAGCTGTGAAGAAAGCAGGAAAAACGAAGCGTCCCAAAAAGTGGTTTAGTTTGTTAAACTGATTAAAATATAGTTTAATCTTACAAAAGCCTACTTCCATACTCCATATATATTACTGGTAGGTGTTATGCAACTATTATTCCATACAGCTACTGCATTCTGTGCATACCATAACTTTTTTCTGTGGTTTTACTCTTATTGTTTCCCCTTCAGAGAAATATCAAGATGCTGTGTAACAAGTTAACAAAGAGAAAATGCGTAATCACTTCAGCATAATTTACAAAATCAAAATCACTCTTTATGCACTTTGTATAGCATGTATTCATATAACTACTGTGTTTTGCATATAACACGGATATTGAAGGTAGTTAAAGCAAAAAATTACAACTTTATATCAATGAGAAAAAAATCAATTAAATGTTCATTTTTAAACATCAATGTAACCAAGTAAGTACCAGCATAATCAGAGGAAAGAGTTTTTATACTTGTCTTTTTCTTCACTTTAGCATCTCTTCAGGTTTTGTCCTGATATAACTTTTTCATTTCCAATGGGATTCCGATATTAACCTGATCTGATTTTAGCACAAATCATGCATCTCTTTTGTTTTGTTTTCTTTTTTGCAAAGGGATAATTGAACATCTTGCAGCTTAAAGGGTTGTATTATCATCTACATAGAAATAAGTGCTGAAACAATTAATCAGATTAATCCAGATTAATCGATTATTAAAATAAAAATCGTCAACTAATTTAGTGATTGATGAATCATTAACTGGAGTATAGATATTTTAAAATGTGCCTTTAGCTGACTGAGTAACCCACTTAGAGCAGTAATTTTACCAAAATGCAAAATATATATATAAATAAATATTTGGAATTACAGATAAAAAAAAAAAACTTTTTGTCCATCAATATGCTGCATCCAAAACTCTTCTAGTGGAAAAGTTTTAGTTTCACCTGGTTTAATTTCGTAAAAAGTCTTCTTTAAGCAAGCTTTGGCCATCCGATTATTAAAGAATCCGCAAATTAATCAATTTGCAAAATGATCATCAGTTGCTGCCATAGTAAAAAGGTTAATCAGATTAGATGAAAATGCTTCAGAATTCCTAATTAACTGTTTAGCTGGCTGTTTTTATTAAAGCAGACAAATCACCCTGAACCATCTTCTTAGTGTCGATCCAGTGATTTCATATTATTTTCAGCATCTACTGTGAAATCAGACACAGAAAGTTGTTATCATAAAATATAGTTGGATATTTTTTTTCTTTTTAATAGTGTAGTGTAAAAGATTACCTGAAGGCCTAACCCAGTCAGTGCTTGATTCTGGAATCTGAACTCTGTGACCTTTGGATGGAACCAGATCAACCATTTTCCTCTCCAGATCCCTGTTTGTACTAAGATAAGCACATACTGACTTGGCTTCAATTTAACCCAAACACATAAGGAGCATCAGCCTGGTGTTGATATGTTTAATGTCCAAATGTATACGTTTAGCTATACAAACGTGTTGAAGGTGTCAGTTTGTGTTCTGGGTAACCAGGCAACGCTGACGTGAACATCCTGTGGCTTATTCTGTTATTGCTGGAGAGCAGCTCAGCTTGGCAGAAAGGGCCTGCAGCTAATGAAAGAGCAAGCGTAATCAAGGGATTATTTGGGACAAAAAAGGTTTGAGTTAGACGAACAAAATGGGGATGAGATTTGAGGTCAGAAGCAGGAATCAAAGCAGCCTGTGAGAGAAGAAGACGTGAGAAAAAACGCTGTAACTCAATCAGCTTTAACTCCTGGTCCTGTCTACGTTTTTATTAGCTAATACCTTCTCTAAAAAAGGTTTTAAAGCACATTTCACAAGAGATATTATCTGTTTATTCAGAAAGTCATCAATAATAAATTAGTTTAGCTTTTAACGGGTATAAGAACATTTGTTTCCTTTTGTATTGCACTTGACATACCTTAAGTTTTGTACCTTGTAAAAGGTGGATATAAAATGTGACACATACCATAAATTAAGTAAATTTAAAAAGCTTTAAATCCTCTTAAAAAACATTTATAAAATAAAATCCGAGACATCCTCTAAACAACAGTTTTCTTTTAATATTCTGTTTTCTTTAATCTCATTCTCACTCCCAGAGTTTGTTCTACTCAGAAAGTTCTCTGTAGACAAGCCAGCGTAGTAACATTGTTTTAAAGGCACATATACATGAAATGACCACATACACTGACTTAGTAGAGCTATGCGTGTTGCTATATACAAACTGTTATTACATATATTATCTCTGTGAGTTGATCTGAGACTTCCATGCTGTGACAGCAAGTGAGTCTGAATTAGAAAAGGCAAAAAGCATTTTTTTTAAATCCTTTGCAGAGGGAGCAGTAGTTACAGTATGTATCTGTAAGTGGGAAGCCATTTTTTTCTGTTTTTTTTCTAAAATATGTAACATACTGCTAATCGTCCCCTTCCTGTATTTGACCATTTTTCCTATTTACTCTTACAAAATCTGTTGAATCTTGCAAAATCCTTAAAGCAATCATATGTTTTACTAATTAAAATTAATATTTTTTCTTCTTTTTTATCTATTTTATATTTGGCCTTAACATGCTTATCCTCAGTTTGCATTGGTAAAAGAAATATTATGGATGACCTAAGTTCTACCTGAACTTTAGTGACCTTTTAGAAGTAGAAGAATGTGTTGCAGTGACAAGTAGAAAAATGTTTGGTGAAATGTAAGCAGCATTCAATGTTTCTCTGCTCTCATTTCTGAATTCTTTGCATCACCTCTGCTGCAGTCAGACTGCCCCCCCCCACCACCACCACCGCACCACATATTTTATTGCTTTCATTTTCTTTTGTTTTCTTGATTCCCCCAGTGGATTACTGTTTACAGCCTGATTTTTTATGTCCTGCGAACTGGCAGACTAACACTCTAGTCTCTGCTCTCACCGGTCTGACCTCTCCCCTGCATCAAGCAAAGCAGTCAGTCCTGACTTCCCGTTAATCTTTGATTTTACTATTGCCTTCCATTTTGAAATATCGCCATACTCTCTTGTTCTCCCAAGTTGAAAAATATAAACAGTCATGTGTGGCTTATAAATGCTTTCACATCTAGAGTATTTGGTGGACATAAACCTTGTTAAAAACAGTTCTCTCATAAACCTGTAAAGCTGACCTATCTGGGCTATTTCTGGTCGTTCTCAAATTCCTAATAAATCCCTTATTGATACTTAGCACCCCATGGAGTGGACCTTAATGGGAACAGTGTAGAGTCTCACACTTATGATACAAGGCAGAAAATATTTAACATATCTCTGCTATTTTGTTCTGTTTTCAAGCTTTACTGCTGCAGGATAAAATGTATGCAGCTGATGTCCTGTGAGCAGCTCCATCTTTGGACATTTTAGTGCTGCTTATTCAATGTTTGGCAAGAAATACTGTATATCACTGCACAGTTTTGTCAAATTCCCTGTTCAACTGGGTGATCAGACCTTCTATTGTGGCTGCAAAGCATCTTCAATCCAAAGCACAAATTTTATACTCAGCTGCTTCTGGGCAGAGACTACATTAGTGTTGTGTTAGAAGTCTAACCCAGGCACTTTAATTCACACCTTCAGTTTGCTCTGCTATAAAACCAGCAGCTTTGCAGAAAGGTGCAAAATTGTTCATACTCAAAATCTCAAATTTTAAATAGTTAAAAACCATGTAGGGGAAGCAGCCAACATGAGGAAGAAGGCGTTCTGTTTTTTTGTTAACTCACACTTTTAGGCTTTGACACAAGATTTTATCGAAAAATGAAAAGATTTGGCTTAATATTCGCTTGTCGAGCCAATCAGAGGGGATTTATTTTAGTTTTTTTAAGTACACTTGATCCTAACTACACATACGTTTAGTTTCTAACTGCTATAGCCTAGCATGTAGTGAGTCATGCTTTACGCAACAGATGGAGGAGTTATATGTGGCAAGGTAATGTCATATAAGGATGTTGTAGTAGACTGTAGGCAGAATCTCCACTATGTCGGAAGGTGACTCCACTCAGGATATTCTCTGAGGATTACGCCTTCCTGTGATAAATGTCGGCCCTTCCCAGAGATCCTCTAATATCCCAATTTTTCAAATGAAGTGACGGTCTGACTAAAATTTGAAATCTTTTAAGCTGCGGAGCTAAAAACTGCACCCTGCCCACACTCAACAAAGACGAACGCACATGCTGCCCAGCTCACCGTACGAGTACAGAGAAACCCTGAGCAATTTTTTATCACAAATGAGTTCTTCATGTCCGATAAGGACTGCTTTTCGCCCCCATAGCTCCATCAGTGGTGTACGCTTCACAATCACATTTCCTGAAATTATCTGCAATATTCCCTTCCACTCTGTCACTATTGTTTTAGCCCTTCATCTTTAACATCAGGGCCAGAGCTACACCAGCATATCTCCTCGGCCTATAACCCAATTGCATGGATTTGATGGGGATGTAATGGATGATGCTTCCTGGCGTTTAGGCAGAGCTGGTGCTGTCAGCTAGATTTACACACTGTTATGTGGAGCTCGCTCAGAAATAGATACTGTCAAACAGGAAGCTTGCAGCTGTGCCTTTGGACTTATTGTAAGACTAAAATGATCGTCTGGGGAGCTGGAGGGTCTGTTAAGAATAATATTTGACTCCGGCTTTGTTGAGCTTTATAGAAGATCAATATGTAGAAGTTTTCTAGCTCTCTGCTGGGTTCCCTGATCACCCACGTACATTCAGAATAAAGCAAAGGTGTTATAAATCCCTCGCAGAATCAAAACCCACCTTCTCCTATCTGATAGGAATCACCACCTGCTGCCTCTATCCCACTTCCTCTCATTTTTATTTTTTTGAAAGTAAAACAAAAGCTTGGTTTAAAAAGGAGAATGCAACACATGTTTTTAGAATCACACACATCACCTTTCCTTGTATA